ATGCGTTTGCATTCGCACCCTGTTTGCAAGAATAAATCGTTGGCGAGAACAATGATGCACGTGAACAAAAGTGGTATAAATCCTATTATATTTACACACTGTCACCAATCAAGTGGCATAGGTACGATTGACTGTACGATTGACCTACTGATAGATTGACCTACTGATAGATGTCATTAAAACAGCGCATTGTTGACATCCGCGAACAGTAACCATAGAGATGTCATGTACCTTGGATGATACAACTACTGTACCTAAGTAATATAAATCGACTTACGACATGACTCTGGTATAACTGCTGGTGAAGTCGTCACGTCTGTCAAGTGACTTGACTTGAAATATGGCCACCATACAGAATCGCCACAAATAGTGTTACAAGATTTATCAAATAACTCCTAAGAAAAAAACACCATGGATAATGTGGTTAGAACAAAGTTTCGCACTCGTATTGCTATTTCAGCAACGTCGGTGTGTGATGGTATATCATATGTCGAATTGGCTTCAATCAAATGCGTAAGTTCTTGTACAGAAAATACACTCGGTAGCCTGTCACCTACCATCGTCACGTAGAACACACTTTCATTTGTTTGATAGTGGCTGGACAATCAACTCGCGAGTTCGTATATTTAGATGTTACTTAATTGATTATGTAGTCATGGTTTGATTCTATCCGTCGCAGATGAACCAACTTTGTGAGTATAAAAGCAGATTTTGTCAATGTGCTAAAAAAGTTTTAGTGTAAAATGAATCACTCCTCAATTGTCTTTGTTACTAGAGAGCTGGTCTGAATATTGTAACCCCATACATGTACTTACTAGAACATTTCAATAGCTTCAATTGACCTAATTCGTGATATTGTCGATAGCGAGAGAACCGCGCGTCTTGCGTCTCATTTTCTCCTGCCGTCGCTTCGACTGTTCCAACTGCCATTGTTATACATAGATCATGGCAGCAGTGGAGGCGATCGGCGAGGAATTTAAAGAATGAAACACTATTTGAAGGACAAAACACAGTCGAGCGGTTCTCTCGCTCCGTGAATTCTCGGCGGACATTTGCGTCAGAAATGAGTTGATCTATGGTTCGTTATTAGACCCCAACTAATCCGATTGATTATGACGTTACGGTATTCCATTGGTCTAGCTGAGGTTCATGAAACATTACTTACTTGGATTTCGTTGCTCTTTTTCTTCTCTGTCCACATATTGAAATCAGTGACCTCTCCGACAAACGATGACTGTTCTACAAATCCACCCCCGACTGTACTCTGTTTCTGTCCAATTATAAGGCTACCGCCCCCATGTATGACATTCCCGGCTGACAGTAACCTACCAGAATATGCTTTAGCATCTTTAAAATACTGATGAGCGCCACCACGAGATTCTCAAGACACGCATACGTGGTGCCAATCAGCGCCCAGTAAATTATGACGAGAGTTTTTTCCTTGTTCGTTACGTATCCACATCTGTAGGGAATTGATTCGTTCCACCACGATGCTTCCCTCAGTGTCCCCGTCAGTGAAGTAACTGAGGATTGTTGCGTCTGTGTGAGCAGGGTCAGTGACTTTCATCCACCAGCACATTGTAAACGCTGTCAGATCTGGAATGGTTTTGTCCAATCTGACATGACTTGTAGGGTCTGAGAAGACCCACGACTTATCCTTGAACTCTGCGTCATGGCATCGCCTTTGGACGTCAAGAGCTACAAGAAATGCAATCATGATAGCGTAATTAATTAATTATATCGTGAATGAATGATTGAACGAACGAATGAACGAATGAATGAATGAATGAATGAATGAATGAATGAATGAATGAATTTACTTACTTCTTAATATATCCGAATTTGATGTTGGTACATTATGTAAATTATGTAAAGTCAGCGCTGACCACCAGAATACATCACCACAACCTCTGTTAAGACTGTCCATAGCAAGCGCCTACGATGAAGGAGAAAACCGGTAAATGAGTATAAAATGTATCCAGAGTTATGGGTAATGAGGGGGAGACCAGGATTGTCATGGCACGGTGGGATAGTGTACAAATCCTCTGCAGTCGCTGGCTTGTTGTATATATCTGGTAGCGTTGCTTATGTGTGGGCTTCGAATAAGAAGACAACGTTCAACACCATCTATGTGGTGAAGCCCATTGACGGCGCTGAACGTGACAATGCATGTAACGTAACTCACTGTGATGACGCATGCGTTGTGGATTACGGAAAAAGATCCTGGGGCAAGCGCACTGCATACACAATATGCTATTAACCTTTAACAAGTTTATGACGTAGACATATCTCATGAATATTATTTGAAACTGAAATTGTTAATAGAAAACATTTAGTATGAAACGCCGGAATCATGTATATTCGGTCTATTGTGGTTATTTGAAGACTGTAAACGCTTTCTATCATGCTAAACTGATCACCAAATTACAATCAATCTAAATGAGCTACGGCAAGCCGCAATAGGTCTCGATTGTATACAGCGCCACCAGTGGCTGTTCCCGGCTCCATGCCTCTAGTATGTGCAAGGATACACCGCGATTTCGTCGCATGATACCACGCCCAAATATATCTGACTTCTGACCAACTCTTCCTTTCAATGCCAAATTTTCCGTATCTGATTTCAAACCTAACATTCAAATCTGTTTCTTGCCTAACTTACCAGGTCTGTGTCATGCCTAACTTTGCATATTATCATTTCCTCTAACAATATTCTTGTCTTGTATTTAACTTTTCATATCTGATATCCTTTCTGACTTTCCTTGTCCGGTACCTCGCCTAACGTTTCATATCTAACACTACCTATCTGCTATAATCGCACCTAAATTTCTATGTGTAGTATATCGCTCTTACCTCCACTCCTATCGCATTTACATTTACTACAGTAACCAGGTCTTACCTCCACCTGTTCGTGGGATAAAGCTTTACTAAATACATTCACAGCAGCGAGCTGGCCATGATAGGCAGTATTCGTCGTGAATCCACCACCACGCCGTGTTTGCTTTTGGCCAAGGACCAATACACCATCACCAGCCAATGTCTGTTCAGCAGCCAATCCATTGAAACCATACCGCTCATTACCATCTTTGTACACCTAAAACAAGGAATGAATGGCAATGTCAATGTACCATAATTGACTAATCTATTCTCGTGTTATTTAAATATACCATATCGGGAGAACATGTTTGAATATTGACCTACCGAATAGTCACCATCCTCGGACTTCCATATGGCGCACACTTGGTGCCACAGACCGTAGTTGGCTGCAATCTCGGTGTAGTTGCCATCCTGGCCGTTTATAGCCGTACGAATGTTTCCTGGGTTCTCAACCTCAAACGTGTCATCATCGGAAGCGAAATAACTAACCATAGTGCCAACGTTACTGTCATCTTCGGTTTTCATCCAGAAACAAACTGTAAATTCCGTGGTATCGGCAAAGCTGGTTTGCATCTTAGCATAGTTCGATGTGTCGAAACTAAGCGTTTTGTTTTCCAGAGGTCCCCCGATACACTCTTCGCCATAGTGTGGTAAACTGTTATAATATTCTGTAGATGAAATTTTTTTTAGATTTATCTTTAACAATGTCATTATTAGATTATGGATATGCTGTGATACCAGTTAAACTTTTTTAAATGAAATAATATTTGTTAATGTTGACGTAGCACAATTGCGACATGGAAATGCAATAAGGCTGTGGACAAAACACACAGCGCCGCTCACAATGATTATACGCCACAATATCGTGCTCAAATCATCTAATTGATGATGTCACAACATCGTATACAAGATATACAATAGTTCGTATAGTTAATTCCATGTACGTGTTAAACGTGCTTCCAATTTACGGCTATGGTGTACCTGTATGTGGACATTAAAACTATATTGAATATATTTAATGTACTCGATAGTGAAAGGCTATTTACCTTCACATTATTTAGAACTTCGTTAGCCACATAAGCCGCCCCAACACACACTACTATGCAAAAGTTACGCCCGTTCAAAGTTTACTTAAAGTGTTAAAACTTGAAATCCAACGTAATCATAATGGCGTACACCAAGTTTTCATTGCTACTAAAGCTGTGATACTATATAGGAATTTGAATTTCTGGCCAAATAGCTGAAAAAACAGCTATGTGTCAACAAGGTTTCATCGAACCATATGGTGTATTTCAATCCCAAATTTGAATCGAATCAAAACGAATAAATAAATATTTGATTGTATTTGACCTAGGTGCCGCGTTACGTTAAAAATTACATTTTCAGAAAAAAATGATTACTACTCAATCATTTTGATTTAATGTAAAAAAGAAAATATTATTATTTTCCTTTTTTAGAGGTGGAATCCTACTCATTATAAAATATCCAGCATTATCAATAAATCATTTTTAGAGAAGATGACATTTTCGTTACGACATTCGAATAATGAACTCGGCTACAACTACATCATTTGTTACTACCTAAAATATACCGGGAAACTAACATATGATTTGGAACATAATCTAATACAATTAAAGAACTTCAATAATTTGTAGCACTGTGACATTTATAATGGTAAAGTACCACTATAAAGATAATGCTCCATAACGCACCCATCTTTACACAGCTTATGTAATTGTTAAAGCTAATACTAGGATTTGGATAAAATTAATACAACAGGATTAATAACTAAAAGACACGGCTACTGAAGCGCAGGAGTAACTAAGTATATCTCATACAGACACATGAAAAGGGTGTAACGTGCCACCAGTTTATCTACACACCCCAAATGCCAAAATACGAAAAAAAAAAAGTTATTTTCAATGCCAGACGCTGATGTCGGAAAATTCTTACAATGAGTGCATTCCTTCCGAGCTAAAATTGAACAAAATGTTGACTTACCGACCCTGGTTGTTGATGACAACGCTACGAGTGTGGCAAAAATTGCCAACAAACAGACAGAGTAGTCCATGGCTTACCGAGGTGTATATGCTACCACTGTATGATGCGTTAGTCAGCCATATATAACACAGTTGTAGGTGGCTTTTCCAGGAAGTAAACCCACCCCGATACAGACTCACAATCTAATGACTATGTTTTACGGCAGTTGCGCTATGCTAGTGGCTTTCCCCAGGGGTGGGATTATTAGTACATGTATCAGCCAAATACTAACACGCCGATGACAATGAGAGTTAATTAGTTGAAATTATCCGATATGTTTAGATGCAAACCGTAAGAGAAATATTTCCATTGTAAATTAACAGATGTTCTCACTACATATTAGGATGCATGATTATGTTGTTATTATGTAATAGTTTATATTTTAAAAATAAATCGATTGAAAATACGCATCAGAATATTCAGAAACAATTTTATGGATATTCGTGCGATAATCGTTAGAATAATATATTCAATTATTTGTTGTTTTTGTGACAGAACTGTCATCAACATACATCATTATTAGTTTACAAGTTACTTTTGACGCAAGTTTGTTTATAATATAATAAGTATCGATATCTGTTGATCAATAATATAATTTTAACAAAGATTATATCTATATATGCATGAAATACATCGGTTACTATGAAGAGCGATAGTTTTAAGAGATAAGGTCCAATAATAACTTTTGAAGGATGGCGATAGATTGTCTAACTAGGTAATTCTGCAATGTTGGGAACGCACCAAAGAAGCAAAGTCGCTATTTAGCGTACATTGCGGCCAGATAAAAACTGGCACTCAATTTTGCACATGGGTGACACAACGATCTCTGTCGGTTAATATAGGTGCAAAATCACTGGAAAATGTCAGTAAATGCTTCTGTAACAATAACATTAAAAAAGTCAAGTGTAACCCGAGTTGTGCTCTGCGATGAAACGTAACGTTACAGTTTGCGTACATTTATCACTGTGACACGAACATAGTGAATTATAACATCATCTCCTTGTCAAACCCCTACACAGAAATAGAGACTAGAATTATGGGTGACTACCAAGTAACTGCAAGTTTCAAACTGGGGGAGGAGGTTCTTTTATGCTATTTTATTAATGATTTAGTGGGGTGGATTTTGTCTTTATAACTACCTTTCTTGCTCTTTGACATACCTTAACGGCGAGATCGTGTGATATTGATTTAAATTTGCACGTTTTTCTTGTTAAGTAAGAATTTCTATCGTAACTAGCGTTATATATTGTATATATATATATATCCTCATGTCAAAACGTCAATCTGCATGGATGGACCAATCAGCTTGCCGGGATTTTGGTTACGTCGACCACCCCATCTGCCCGAACCGCTTCGCATCGCAGAAAGAAGACAATGAAGTGGCCGTTGGATTAGTGTGCTAGTTATCTACATGTCCATTCAATTATGGGTGACTTTCATTCCCAGATAATCTGGGTTAACACGTTATTTTTGTTTGCGTTCAGCTCCCTTAATCCCATGAACGCTTTGACAAATGTTGTTCACATATAGCCTAGCCCTACGTAATATTACCACTAAACCCCCGTGCACTGGTAATGCAAACATTAGACATAAATAAATAAGAATTACGTCGTATAATTTATTAATAACCCATGTATATTATGGATATCATTACATAATACAATACAAATTCCATATTTTGACAAATGAGGTAATTAATTGAACAGATGTGCACTCTCTATTAAAGAGTGATCAACATATGTGTTACTGCGCATGCACACATTATGACGGCACACCGATTAAACGTATGTATAATGTCACCATTTGTCTATGATTTGAAATGGTCGATGGGTTTCAATTTAAGTTTAAGAGTACGTCACACATTATGTAGTCTCGTTCGCTTCCACTAAAGTCGCGCTAAATTCGTCCTCCACATATTCAACTATCGGCAATGATCGTTGCGCCACGCATGTGCAAAATTTACGGCAGTAAACACGATTTTTGTAGAACCCAATTAGTATATTGTTGCATGTTAATGATGGGGCTGTTAAGAAACACCAATTGCACAGTAAGTGCATAACAATCACAGTAGCAATAGACAAGCATTTGGTGTATCTGAAATACAGAATTCTTTCAAGAACAAATATATCATTACCGCTACAGTGTGGTGTTCAGTGAAGTAGAATACAGTAAAGGATCGCGATTCAGCCTACAACAATGGCGGATTTGTAGAAATAAAACGTGGACATAATCGTGATATATTATAAAACAAAAGTAAATTCAATCGTGAATTCGTTACTGGAATGAACATAAAGGCGGTGAATACAACTCCTGCTGAACTATTTGTTCGTCGCCTACACCTAAATACCACAGATATTGAATAATATGATGCAGGTATTTTTTGAATAACAACGGTGTCAACGATATGTGATGGTATCAATGCTAAAAATATGATATTAATATTTAAAAAACATTTACAGCTCTGATAGCGTAGATTGTTTAGTATTTTACCATTGTTTATGAGCTGTGTTTTAAACTCACAGCGTTAACGCTCAGACATTTGATGGTATTGAATTTATATCATATTTCTAAAATGACTCCCCGACTCTTCGGTGGAACATATTTTTGAAATGTGATTCCTATAATTTTAAGGTTTGCTATGCAATGATGAACAGAATTGAAATGAAGTGGTATGGTTAGATAGTGTTTCAGAGTAAGAATAGTTGAACGGCGTTGTAGCAGCCTAGTCTTACGTTTATTTCCTGTTTCGCCGATGTATCTAATGTTACGAAAATCCCACTGAGTGATGTATATTACGTTGGAAGTGATACACAGGTAATATGATGATTGATTTTGTATGTAGTATTTTTACTGGCCAAACCACTGCTAAAAGTATTTCAAGAGATAAGATGTATGTAACACAGCGTTTGACAAGTAATACATCCTTTAATAGCATCGCCTACATTTGAACAACGTTAGTAGTACTAGATTTAAAGACGTTAGGTTAAGTTTTGTGTGGCGACGTTGGTTTATAATGTGCCCTGGGTAACCTCGCACCTTAAAATAGTCAGTAAAATCTGACACGTGTTTTCGTAGTCCTTTTTCTTGGAGAAAATACGACTAAGTCAATGGAATAAATTTCTTAGTGCGATGGGGATGACATGACCGAAAGTCCAGGTACCTAGCGCTGTGGGAATCTGTGGGCTGACTGTACAAATTGACTGTGTGAATAGCGCCATCAGCGATGTAAATAGTAGGGGTGCTGGGTGGCATCACCGTGAGTCACAATCATTAAAATATTGTCTATGTAACGTCAACATCAAAGTGAAGACAGAACTAGACCATAAACAACTTTCAAAACGTCCCATAAAAAAGATTGGAATACATAGAAGTCATTTAAGTATCCACAGCACAGCATCCATGGCTCAAATGTATTTAAATTATCTCTGTTTTAAAGCTTCTGCATAAATTGGATCGTACGGTATTATTTCAACTGTTTGTAAGTAACCGCATGAGTTCTTTTGGCGTTCTACGTTTATTTATTCGCCACAAATAAGTTATCGTGTATTTCATTATAAGACTATGCTTATGTATTTAATTTGTTAGCGTCTAGCGCCTCTAGTGGTAGGTATGGGTAAGCCAAGATCAGGGGTCAGTGACTCCAGAATGATGGCTGACAGAGAAAGCTGTGT